ATGTCCGGATGGATCCGTTTGATTTTCAGTTTATTGAACAGATCCGGTGCAAGAAATGCCAATGCACGAACTAACGTCCTGCAAATTAAAAGAATAATGTAAACAAACTTGGGTCGGAAATATTGGTTGTATAGGTCGCTGGTTACGTTTAGGGCTTAAAAGTAATGAGAATAAACCCTTATCTGGCAGATACGTCGAGTTAACTCACTCTCTAAATAAAGAAGGGTAACGATACTATGGAAAATCATTAGTATAAAATGTAGTTGTTACTTTACGAAGCGTTCCACACTTTAAATTTTACGTAATTGTACTTCTGAGAATTGAATTCAAAATTTACAAAGTTACGTTTACCTTTTTGCAAATAAAACACGGTGTTTACAAATCAAATGAAGGCACTGTTTTTTATTATTTTACAAAATCTTAGAAGATTTTTGTTGATTTATTTATTTACCAATATTTCTTTTAACCATTCCAAAGGTAGTGCTAAAATATGGTTCACGTCAATAATCGAGTGTCGGAATTCGAACCCCCGACCGTGACATTGTTTTGCTGTCTTAAAGTTTTCTGTATAACAAATTATATACTGCGTTTGTGCCGCTCACTTACCAGTACAAAGTTTGCGGATTGAAGTACTCGTGTCCACGAACATAGAACTCCGAATTCGGATTCTTGAAGCCATTACACTCAACACCAAAGCCAACGCTTCCAATAATTTCCATCGTATAAGTCTCGTAGAACTTCGAAAAATTCAATGATTTCCCACTGTCGTGATAAGTATCCGCATAAGCCAAAGCATCGTTCGCGATATTCTCAACAAACGGATACATAGTTTTAAACCTGCTAGTTGAAAACGACGGCGACATTTTAACTCTTAAATTCTTCCATGTACTGCCATGTTGGTTGAATAAATGGCCGGCGATCGGATCGCCGACGCCGCCGGAAAATATCCCGTGAGATTGAAAATGATCGAAATCTTTTATCAATATGTGTTTCATTACATCTGGGTCTATCACACACAACACTGGCCGATGGAAACAATACATTCCGATGTACGGCAAATGTTTATATTTAAAATAATTGTCACAATAGGGTTGGAAAAATTGCGCTTTACGAGCAATCACGTCCCTCACATTACCGAAAGGCGCCACTGGCTTAGGCCCAACCACACCTCGCTTCTTCCAATACGTATATTGATATTGAAACCATACGTAAAGTAATACTGTTAAAGTCGTAATTAAAAGTAAAAATTCTTTGGTCAATAGTTTTAAAATTAGCAAATCCATTTTATTAGTTTTCAATCCACAAAATTTCCAATCACTTAAACTTTCGCGCGATTCTAAATTGCATTTATTCAAAACCGTCCGCTTACATGAATTGAATCGAGCCAACTAGGCGGCTACGAGATTGTCGATTTCAAAATACAAGAGTTTAAGGTCAAAATTAAACCTCAACTTTGTTTTAAATATTTGTCAACGTAAAATCCCTTCTCGATTTAATAGAACTTGACCATTATATACAAATAAAAATTTTATCCTATTCGCATAAATAATCTCCAAGAATGTTGAATGTACAAATCTGCGAAAATTGCTAACAAATCGGTCAAGTATGAGCAGTGCACAAACTCGTTATTACAATGTCCGTCTAGGTTTTAGAATTACTACGGAATGAAGACTTTTATAAATTGTGATAAATATATACACAAATTCAATACTGAGAGGTAATTTCCCGATTGTCGCATTACGAACATTAAGGATGAAATACGGAAGAAAAAGCTATCGCGGTATTACTATCGATTAATGACGGAGATATAAAAATTACATTAAATTTTCCTCGTATTTTGAATCATTTCAGTTTGTTTTTCTATAATAAAACACAATATTATTAAAGCTTATTTTTCATTTACAAGGATATAAAAATAATTCTCGTATTAAAAAGCATTGGGCTATTTACAACTACGATAATTCTTAAAAAAGTACTGTCATATCTGAAATTTAGAAATGCTTAGTTATTTTTTAAGCGAAATTACAGCGCTATGTTGTTCTTTACTAAACCAAAATTAGTTCTTTCCTATTTCCGTAATACCCAAACATTGCAAGAATCGCGTCATAATTCAGTCTAAAAATTTTTTTACAATGTTCCAAGTTGTCTTAAGATATTTTTTAAATATTTGCAACATTCGATATCCTGTACATTCACAATATTACATTTAATTAGCATACGATTCTTTTAGAATAATCAACAAAGAAATAAATCGTAAAAACATTGTCTGTTCATTTTCCAAATATTACAAAATTATACACATGATTACATTAAAACAATTATCTCGAAGACAAATATTGTAATAATTTCTTACAGTGTGAGTATACACAGATAGATACTACTATTTTTTATGTAGAAAAAACATTATTTGGTTAAAACCAAGAAACATCACATACACAAAGCACATTGTTCGAAACTTCGTCGCGGTAAGGATTATTTCTTCTTACTATTAGTACCTATGTATTACATGTAATAATAAAATTGTTTATATTTATAACTATTATATAATAGGCACTTTTTTAATTATATGTCATTAAAACACAATTCATATTTTATTTTTAACAGACAAAACAAATAAAAACTGCTAATTTTGCTTAGTTACAACTTTAATTCTTACTAAATTAATAAAATGGAAATAATTTCCATTAATTACAATATTGAAATTGTTATTACTTTTCTTAAATAATAATTTGTATCAATGCTAATTATTCGAAATCAAAAACTCAAATCCGAGCCACACAAACACAAATATATGATATATACTATAATAAAACATTTTTTTATTGATTCTGGTTAGTTCCAGTACTTCAATAACATTTATAAAGTCGAAGCATCATGACAGTCAGAAGATATTGTATCCGTACTGCAAGTAAGTGATTCTCTAACTACTTCCCTTCTCAAGTTTACAAGATATTGCAAATATTCAGTAGGACTTCGTATTTTGTGATCGTCATAATATCTATCCAAATATCTCTCATAATCAGAAGCTGCAGTTTCTAAACCGCTACAGGTCTCAATTATTTTATTTCGGATATTTCCAAAATTGTCCTTATATTTTGCATTTGTTTCTTTTATCAACCGATTTGTTTTGTTCCCACTCTGCCAAGTCCAATATTTGCCTCTTTTGCTGGTAGTATTTTGTTCTGCACCAGTTGTTTTAATATCCAAGTCTAAATCGGAATCAAAATCAAGCCAATGGTTACAAATATTACCATGTTTAATACTGTAATTAGGTTTATTTTTGCACATATCCTTATTACCTTTATTCCAAACAAACGAATCCGACTCAAATCTTGTTGAGTCTGAAGAATCAGAATAAGGATCCAAAAAATAATTTCTGTCAACATTATCCTTTTTAAATCTTGTCTTGTCACATTCGTTAAAGTTTTCGCCTTTTGAATCTTTAAACTTAATAACCCTTTTCACTTCTTTATTTTTGTTTGGTGAAAGTGCAATATTGTAAGGATACGTATTTACATCTCGTCCCAAAATTAAATTTTTAATATCGTTATCATCGTAAACCCGCGTAGTGTCCACTGTCACTCTGGGTAAAGGTAATTCCTCGTCTGGGAAGTCTTCGAGAGAAATATTATCAAAAACCTCAGTAGTTAAAATAACATCATCATTTACATTTGTAGCTTTTTCAGAATTTAATAAATCAGTTTTACTTATTTTAACTTCTTCAACAATGTCTTTATTATGATTTGTCAAAAGATCTGGAGTGGTGTCCAAATTCTCACTTTTATTTTGAGTCGATTCATTGTCTGATTTTTCACTTGAATTTAATGAATCAGAATCAAATGAACAGACAGGTGAAATGTTTATATTAATCACTGAAGGAATTACACAACTATCCTTTGTTTGTTTGCCATCTTTACGCTTTTTGTGCAATTTTGTACACGCTGACGCTCTTTTTCTCCTTCTTGAATGCGGTAAAATTTGAGTTTGAGTACATATATTTCTTTTCAATATAATGTCTGTCATAACAGTACTATGTTTTTTCGCTATATTTCTTAATTCCATTGTTGTGGATTTATCTTGGAAATTCAAAGATCCGTCTCCGCTTGCAACGTCTTTGCACCTCGGTGTCATAGGAATAGTTTCTGTGGCAGCATCCTTATAGAATATTTTTGTATCTTTTTTGAGAATTATAAACGGTGCAAGATCAGTTTGAGCACTAATTCCTTGATCTTTAACTCGAATTACAACTCGTCTTGTTTGTGTGTGCGCTGGTATGCCTATTCTTTTCTTGTTTCTAATTGCTTTTTGACTCAATTCTAAAAGGCGCTGACGAGCATTGCTACAAATCTTTAATTCACTTAACGGTTGCGTAATCTTTTTATCTACTGGGGTATCCAATTTGTTAGCTGCAGCATCTTTTTTAAATTTCGAATACAATCTTTCTGTGACAGATGCTATAATTTCAGCTCTTTGGTTATCATACAAAATCGAAACTGGTGAATTCTTGTGTTGTTCATGTTTTATTTCTTCTTTTTGATCGCTATGGTGTTGGGAGGAATCGTAAAATTGTTCATTATTTTCATTATGTAGTATGTTAACTGGCAACACTTCTTCGGAACAGTACTGTCTTTTCTTATGTTTTAGTGGCGAAATATCCAAAACACTACCGCTTTGTGTTCTTTCCAACAAAGGCCCAAACAATTTGTCTACTTCTTTATGGATTTCTTTATTTACTTTAATTTTATTGTCCAAATTGTTTGGAACATCCGAAGATACACTCGCTACTAATGAATTAGTGGATTCCGAATTTCGAGCTTCATTTTTCGGATGTGACGTATTCATTATGTTGCCTATTTTTGCTTCTTTTTCCGATTTATCGTTGTTAATATTTGTATTTAATTTCCAGTGATCATCATAGTATGATATTTTTCCAGATTCCGGTATCTGAAACAAAAAATGTCGACGACATGGAGTATAAAAATTTTACATAAGTAGACATTCAATTTATACTTACATAATATAACTTACATATCTTATATGATGTCTAATGAGTTCTGCGAGCAATTGGTTGAGTTGTGCTTGCAGG